GGGGGGGGGTGCGAAGAAAGAGGAGAGTGAGCAATTACATCAGGTCAAACAAATTTAGTGTTCTGAAGCCACACAACGTTTAGCTTTTCCTTTTATTTGTTTCAAGTTTTGGTGTAGAAAGTATGTGCAGATGCTAATGCAACCTTCCCGTAAGTGCTCAGTCTGGCAACAAACAAAGTTTTGGTGTGTTCAATTTGGTTATAAACGTTTCCTTTAAGTGAAGACCTGTAGTGCCATCGAACCCAAAACTTTGTTACTGTTGGCAATAAAATAAAGCAACTTTTCTTTACAAGCGTTTTTCCATTTAAATAAAAACCTGAAGCTTTCCCATAATTCCTTTGGTCTTCTCTCACCAAATTCCATGCTACCTCAAGACAAGCCCTCTTTTGGAAGTTTGGCTGAATCGCAGTGAAGCTCCTAAAATTAACAGAGAAGAATTGCTGTGGTAGAGCTTCCCCCCCTAGTTTCTTGGGAGTTTAAGACTGAAAGACATTACTGATGCCTCCAACAGAGGCTTCAAATTGTCTCTACAAGAACAAGAGAAAACAAAATGCAATTAGAAGTTCCTCTGAAGGTGCCTGGCAAAAAATTATCTCCAGAAATTGATGTTTCTCTTCCAGTATTTTTGTATGTGTTGAGTTTATTCCCCTCATAAGGAAACACAAGTATCAGTGTAAAAGCACAGCTGAGCTTTTAAGGTAGCACCAGGACACCTACACCCAAGTTGTTGTCTTGTTGCTGCTAGGCCTCTTTTTGATTCACATTCACAGAATCACTTCTTGTGCAAAACAAGCAGTCTAAGGAGAAAGAATGCCCTCCAAGTTCTAATAAAAATTGTAGAAAAGAATCCAAGATAGCCAACACTTTCCTCTTCCCCCAGATTTATCTGCAGAGAGAGGGGGGCATCTGTGCGTAGACAGGATAAGCAAGCCTGACATTTAGGGAATCATTGTGTTGGACAAGGGATGTCTGCTGGTAATGAAGAACCAACTCCTTCAGTGTGCTGTACAGGTTATATGGTTCTGCAAACCCATAACCTCTTGGAGTGCTGTAGATCACACAGTGCTTCACTTCTCCATCAGCCCTGCAAGGAAAAGAAACAGGAGAGTTTAACGTTGAAGGACAAACCCAAAGTGACAGTCTATTAACAATTAACTAATGCAGCAACCCTGCCAGTCACTAAATTATATCATGGAGGACCCAGTAGATGCAAGTAGAGGAGATTAATATAGTCTGTGAAGAAACAGTGCTTCAGGGCACGCAATTAAATATTCTCGCATAATAATCCACATTAGAGGCCTCTCCTATCCCCTCTTCTATCTATTGTACTCAATTCCCTCCTGCATTGCTCTCCAATTGTTTCTTAGGAAAAGAAGTCAAGAGCTTAACCAAGAAGATAAGCACCTGAAGTCAGCTAAGACTTTGTGTTCAACTTGTCTGGAAACTTTTCCACTACGTGAAGAAGCCAAAACCCACAAATTCTTAGGACGAACAGAGTATTTCATGAAATGCAGCACTAATTTCAGCCTGTGGGTTTTTTTCACATTAAGCATGGCATGGGTTCAAGTTAGTTTGTTATCTGAAGTCATAGTGACTGAGTCCCTAACTTGGCAAGCAGTTAACTGCAACACAGCATTTCCAAAGCTGCTAGAAAAACCTAGCTGCCAGAAAGATCAAGTAGTATGTAATCCCTGTACTGGAGCCTATTGCAATCCAAGTCACATGTAGGAACGGGTTATGTGATGCCATCCCTTTGCTAGCTTGTAGTATGATACCAACCAAGCAAAAGTATCTGATGACCCCATCACTGCAGTGACTCTGACAGTGTCTTCAGCATGGCAGATACAACAATCTTCAGTTGCCTTGAGGTTATATGCCTTCACATATTCATTTCTCAGACTTGCTTTCAGAAGCAATTAACCTCATGTGAAATAAATCAGTGAAAGCCATTTTGCACTCCAGAACAGGCCTGAAGGATTTTGAGATAATGGAATCAAAGTATTTCTGACCTCCATTACACCATCATAAAATGAAGCGAAACACAGGAAATCAATGCAAGACTGTGTGAATGTCATAAGGCCTGCTGCTCACAAATAATGTCTTCTCTGAAGCACCACTGTTATCTTAAGCATACAAGAGAAAGCATCTAGAATTGGCCATGTCTGAAAATGGAATGTTACAGTTCTACAGGCCTGTTTTATTTCTTCCCATGTGTTTGTTGGCAGGGAGGAACATGGGAGAATTTGGCCTTAATTTACTTATGATTGTAGAGCTTCAAGTTGGAATACTGGAGAATTTTATATTAGCTACTGTGGTGACTGAAGAGGCTGCTAGAATTACAGTTATTGCATGTTCAAACTACATTTTATCAAAGCTTTTACCATGCTAGACTTACTAAAAACAAGTAAAACATTCCAATGGGGAGGCCTAGGCTACCAAAATAAAGAGCTGTGGTAGATATTTACTGAATAGTTAGAGCAAAAAGGAAAACAGACTTACACCACAGAACAAGCATAACATCCTTTCTTGCTACTCTCTCGAATTAAAAATGCTCCATCAGGTTTCCCACAGAGCAAGTCTTCTGCTTGGATACGGTTGAGATCCCCTACAAACCAAGTTTTTTCATCATGATGTGGCAGGTTTTCATCCTCTTCATTCACAAAATATGGGCTGAAAGAAAGGATAAAGTTGCTAATTTAATCACTGGTCAGTAAGAGAGTCAATAAGCAGAGTAATTTATTTTTGCAGAAATCATTCAAAGAAATACCGTAACAAATTCAAACTGGGAAATCAGGTTCCTAAGAGACATACATTAATGGCTTCAACTTAGAACTTAGTTGTTCCAACTCTGTTTAATCCTAAATGCTTCAACAGAGTTGCTGCCTCATATGGCATACAATTCCCCCAGAGAATTTCTCCCATTGTCTGCAGTCCTTCCTTTTTTCTACAGTCCTTTACAGAGAAATTGTGCTTCATGTGACCAATCCTCCCACAAGATAGAACACTTATTAATGGAACACTTCTTAGTAAAATCATGTATATAATGACACTTACTCATCAATATTTTCATTTTTGATCCCCAGCCAGTCGTTTATTCGCTTCTGTCTCACCCCTTTGTGATTGAGCCACCTGCCAGAAGAAGAAAGCACTCATATGTTACCTCAGAGCACATGTACACGTTTTCTTACTGAGCAAGCTGAAGCTTAATCACAAGGCCCCACAAAGAAACAGTCAGGAGCTTAATTTGTTCTCCAGTAGCAAAAGCCATGGAAAGACAACAGATTCCCTAAGTGTTATTCCTTGCATCATCTTCTGAGATGCCTCCTTTACTGGACACAGTAAGAAGCAACCTCTCAAATGGAGAAAGAGGAGGATAGAAGTACTGCCTTGGCACAATGCAGTCCAGAAAGGAAGCAGAATACAAATTGTGACAGCTGCCTATGCCTCTTGGGGAAAAAAAAATGCCACTGGCTTCTTCCAGCCTCCTAATGTCACCTTCTGAGATAGCGTGTTCCACTCTGTCATCTGCTAGAACCCTAGTGCATTGAAGTCCAGCCCAAGGACATTAGCAGCTGGGTGACGGGTGTCGGTGAAATCAAGGATGGGTACGAATAACATCTGCCACACCTAGCACAGAAAGTACTAACCTCAGACAGCAGACACAGGTTTTGTTTATAACTCATTTATCTTAAGTATTTTCTTTACAGGAGTTGCAGAATGTGCCCTAGTTGTGGCAGGCTCTTTAAGTAATGAAGTCATGAAGAGGCCAACCCATGACTCAGATGTCCCATGCCAGCATGTAGTACCTTCACCCTCACAGAACTTTGGTTATGAAAAGCAAATTAAATTCACATTATCCTGATGGAAACAGTCATTAATCAGGTTCATCAGAGACACTATTCTGAGGTACAGATCAGGCTTACTTACACCAGATACTGATCTCTGATTTTGCGGAGCTGAATTAGGTCAGGCTTGATACTATTCATTTTCTTATCAGTCTCCCTGTTGTCCAGAGCTTGTTTCTTCAAATCCTGTTCCAGGCGCATTTTACTATCATGGATCTCACCCAGGCGTGATTTTAACTTTTCATAGTTCATCATTATCCTGCAGACAAGTGTAATATTTGAGAGGTGAGGTCAAACCAGTCTGAAAGGACTGAGCCTTTCCAGTAGCACTTTATATAGAGTATCACAAGAACTACTGTAACAGCAGCTCCTTTCTTTGACCACCTCATCTTAACATGAAAATTGCTGTAGAAGTGCCAGAAAAGACCTCCTGCCAGAAAGCCTCCTACCCTTTTGCATAGTTTGGACCTTCAGTTTACATTTTTTTCTGGCAGAGATGCAGAAACAAAATATCTCCAGGAGGGTAAGCTAGGACAGGCTCCTCCTTCTCTGTCAGATTCATTTTTTGGTATAGTAATTACACAATCCCACCCCAGGTATCAGTAACAGCAATATTAGTTTGCAGGTTGATACAATCCAGGAAAATAGCATATTTCTCCTGGTAATTTTTTTAGTCAAAATGAAGCATTACAATCACATAGTCAGATGATTACAGGTAACTGTTTTCAGTCTAAGAATGTCCTTGCTACCCTCCCATGATTCCTAAAGCACTGTATAAAGCTGAGTGTTCTACCTGGCATTTCTTCTAAGACCCAGATATAGCTTTTTCTGCTATCACCTTCACAGAAGGGCAACTTCAAATAAGGTCCTTCCTGAACTTCTGTTAGATGACCACTATCCACTAAGGAGTAGCGGCAATTAAATACTGACCTTCTTTGAAAGTGACTAAAACTGACTGGACTATGAGATTTACCAGATCTATGTCCATTTTGCAGCTTACGAGTAAAGGTTTTTATGAATTATATTCTAAGCAAATCCAAATAGAAGTGGGATAAACAAATGCAACTATTATTTCCTGATCCTCATCACAGTATCTCGATTTACTGAAGTTGAGAGAATAATCCAGAGATCTCCCACCTGCCCTGTCTACAACGCAATTCCCTGACAGAAGAGAGTTTAATGGAGGTTCGGTCACCTTGGACAAAGGTTTCAGAGAAAATACTGAGTTTGCCAGTGTTCTTTAGGAGGCAATATTGTATAAGAGAATTTTATGGGAGCATCAATGGGGACATTAGCTCTTCCTTATAAGCAGGACTGGAGAGCCTACCGTTCAATCTCTTTGTCATTCCCCTCCCTGCGAAACCGCTCGATGTATTCTTTGCTGTATCGCTCCTGTGAGTGGCACTGCTCCTCAAATATCTTAATGGTTTCATTAAATGCTTCAATTGCAGTCCTCTTCATCTGAATTTCCTAGGTGAGGAAAGAGTCCTTCATCATTTGTTCATGATACAGAGAATAAGGCAAGACTCGATTACTGTCCCTTAAACTGACTGAGATGATGAACTTGTCTCCCCCCCCAAGTCAAAATGTGATTAATCAGTTTGAAATTTAGTCAAATGTCTGCACAGAGTCAGGGAAGTCTTACTCCCTGTAAATCTGCTCTCCTCCCCCACATGATGCTCTCTATTAGGCTGCATACCCCTCAAATATTTTAGTCATATTTTCCATCTTAGTTTGCAGGAAGACTGCCAGCAAACCTCCTCCCCATATACGAACTAGCTTATTTTACAAGAAGCAGTCCAAATACTGTATTCACACTTCCTTAATGCATAATATCTGGTATCTGATTTGAACATGATTCCATAAAAACCTGGACAAACCCCTCTACACTTCTCACTGCAGCACAGAGCAGCTGGAAATACTCAGCAGGCAAGGAAGAAGTCTGCAGTGCAAAGCTTGTAGGGGATGGCCTTTTTCACTGCTCAACCTTATACTAGGAAGCTCAGCTCCTGTTTCTTCCTTACCCCTTCCCCAGGACTATCAGCAACAAGTAATATTCACTGTTACCATCAACTTTGAAACACCTTGTTCTATTCCAAAATTTACTAAGTGCTTTCCTTTTATTTTCTGACTTTGGACTGTCCTTATTAGCCAGAACAAGTTAAAATAATGTTCTTTACTTTTTAAACAAGAAGGAACAAATTCTACAGATAGCTAAAGCAGAACTAACCTGTGATGTCCTGGTATATTCTTCATACAATTTGTCGTACTCTTTACTCTTTTCCTGATACTGAGCATGGTATTCTTGAAGCTTTTTACCTACTGCATCTATATTATCTTCTTTCACCAACTGATCCTGTACATACAAAAAACTATTAAGTCTTCAAGCAAGGCAGCTTTTCCTTAAGAGTATTCATTAGTCCACTTTAGCACTTTTGCATTTTACAGCCATTAACATCACTTGTATAATCTGGTTTCTACAGAACACAAAACACCAGAGTTAAAATCCCTCTTCCTCCACACAACAAATTTAGAGCTTACAGATAGTAGGAACTGGAGCTACGAGACAACTATGCCAAATCCTAAGCTTCCAAAACACACTACAGCTTAGGTCTAGGATTCCTATCCTCTGTTGGAGAAAGGAGGAAGTGAATTGCTTGAAATCTGAAGTTTAATATCAGAGTAATTTTTTTGTTTTCCAAAGAGCTCTGCTATTCTTTTTTTGTTAATGCAGGACAATGTTGCAGCCTGCTAAATAAAAGCTTTAAAAATATGATAGAAAAATTTAGATGTCCATACACAGAGCAAGCAACAGCAGGGCTTACATGTGCTTCAAGGGCAACACTGGCTAGAAGAGTGCCCTGTGGGGCCAAGAGGGCCCAAGGGAAGGGGGAAAAAAAGAGCTCAAGTCCGCTGCATGTCACAGGGTTTTATTTCTCTATTGTACAGCTCAGATAGAGACTGGAAACTTTACAAAATGAAGCATCTTAAATGACTAGACAATTTGGAAGATCCATTATTATGAGCTAAGTGAAGTAAAATGGGAAAATTAACCTTTTTTTTCAGTTTTCAAAAAAACCCCACCAAAACACCCATCAGCCTTCACACAGAGAAAACAAAACCATATACACATTTGCAATTCTTCTCTTGTCTGTACTAATAGCTATTGGGGTCTGTTGAAGATCTTACCTGCTGGTACCGGGACACTGGATACATCAACTTCACATCAAGCTTTGGGTTATACTGAGCAAGAGACTCATTCCGGTAGTGGTTAATCAGTTCCACAACTGAATTAAATGTCAGTGGATCAGAAAAGCCATATTTTCCATCCCGATGATAGATCTTTATCAGTTTATTGTTGCCACCCTTCCTGTAAAGTGGTACAGTAAATTTAGAAGTTTTACTGTGTACCTCTTAACTCGCTTCAACACTAATACTGCCAACAAAGACACTGGTGAAGTTCCTGGGCAAGTGGCTTTGACACTGCACACCTTCATAGCAATTCTCTACATCCTACCAGATGTCTGTAGTTTAGGAGTCAATACACACAGATTATCAGCAGATATGATCTGAACAGGAGCAAAGCCCCAAAGTAAATTAGTTCTGGAGGCAGCTTATGGTATTGAAGACCTAGCTTGGTCAGAAGTTTTGCAAGGGAAAAGGAAGCTGCTGAAGGCTGAATGAAGGAGCCAGGTGAAAACCCAAACCCACAATTTCCTGCAATTTGGGCCATTAATAGTATACATCTGAGAATACATTTATACAGTGATTAACAAATCTTTTGAGTTATGGATGCTGATACAGGATACATGAACCTAAACAAAAGCCTTTGAGGATTACAAGATGGCTGTAAGTTCAGGACTTTACATTATCCAGATTTATACATTCTAGCACTTTCCACAAATATGTTTATTTCTTCCTTTTCACCAACAGACTGTTTAGATAACATCCTGTCCTTCCTGCACTCTCAATTTTGGTTCTTAAAGACATCTGCATCCAGAAAAATACTCAAGTCATGCTAAATGTTAGTGCACAGGTTGCGAATTTCAAGGCAGAATTTAAATTACACTCTTGGGTTCAAACTTGCCATGAGGACAACAGAATTCCATGGCAAGATCAAGTATCTACCATATCATAGGAACTTCCAGGGGTGAGGTCCAGAGGCAGTGGCTTATGCACGTCACCTGATTGTTTCTAACAACCAATGCTGGCAGCCTGGCAGAGGCAAGTGGCTGGACAGGCTGGGCAAGGCACCAGCAGCTTGTCACATGAGGTCTGCTGTCTTAACTGCAGTAGACAGGGCTGGGGCAGCTCTGGGAAGTCTGCCACTTGCAGGCAATTTTAATGAAGAAAGGAGCATAGCTCCAGTTCAATTATTTCCCAAATTTTAGATCAGAAAGCACAAGATACACTTTTTACAAAGACACTGCGTTCAATTCCCCAGAGCCGCATGCTGACAAAATATTCAACACACTCCCATCAATCAAAGCCCTAGTTTATAAATACCTTTTACTTTACCAGTCCTGAAACTATGAAGCACTACTGAGTGATCCCGTCCCTGAGTCCCATGTAATATACACGGAGATCTGTCCAGTAGTGTTTAGTGAGGGACAGCATTCAATGCACAGAACACAACCATCAGACCTGGCTATTTATTTGCTTACTCTGTGATCTGCAGTACCTTTGGGAACATCTCTTAACTTGAGCCACATCAGCTCTACACAACCACTACTGACACTGCTATAGCAATTACCTACTCAGGGTTTTACTACGTGGACCACGACTGCTCAATGCCTACCGTAATGTCAGAGTGTAGTCTCCCTGCATCTTGGTTGATGCATCACGCACCAGGAATGTTCCATCTGGCATGTCTCGTAATTTGTCATTTACTTCTTCCCTGGAGAATGGAAAGGAAGGCCAAATGAGATGTGTAAAAGGACATGATAATCTTTGCCACAACTATCAATACTGGAATCAGTAACACCAGTGTGCGTAAGGAGTTCCATCTTTAAAATATCAGGCAAATCTTCTTTCACACTCAGGCCTCCAGTCTTTCAGGCCACCTAAAGCAAGTTTGAACTTGTGTAGTTATACTAAAAAATAGCAGCTGCAGTCAACTGCCACTTCGGAAGAAGTCTCTGTTTAAGCAACAGTAACAGCTGTGTCTCAAAGTTCACAGCCTTTCCCTGTAATCTGCTCAGGTTTTAAAGTCCACACTGGAAACAAGTGCCCTTTGAGAAGCCAGTCCTGACCTCTTAAGACATGGGCTCTAGCATCATAGCTCAAAGGTGCCTAGAGTTTAGCACAGTTCTAGTCTCAAGAGATTCATTATTGGCTTAACTCTGATCTTATTTACAGTAGTTTTAAACCACTACAACCTTGCTAGCTTCAGAGCAACTTTTCCTTATTTACAACTGAAGCAAAAGGATACTCAGTCCAGATCTTTAACCTAAACAAAAAAAAAAAAAAATCTTCTAATACAAGTGAATACCTGTAAGCATTAGGAAAATAATTTCAGCTGAATAGTTAAGTGTCTTGCCAGGCTTGACCACTTAATTCTGATTACATATCTCACTTTCTAACAGCTCCCTCACAAACACACTAAGCACTTTTTAATACAATCACTTGGAAACTAAAGTTTATCAGGTAGCCTCAACATTATCTAAGTGTGGTAGAAAGCTTGCTTGAATCACACAAAGAAAAACCAACAGCAGCTTTTTTTGTTCAAATACTAAGGAACAAAAATATTTCTACAAAATAGCCTTAGTTTTGATTATCTACAGGAAAACCATTATGTTAGTAAAACTGACTCCTGTTAAACATCATATGCATATCTGCTTACTCCTCTCAGAACATTTTACAGTTTGGACTCAGTTAACTGGATGGCCTTCTCCTTTTTGAATGGATACATATTGTCTAAGGGCTTGGGCTTTTACCTTCACATTGCATGCTGGAGCTCATGACAAGATTTTCAGCACAAGTTCTTGACTGAAGAACAAGGCTCCTGCCCTGACAGCTCAATGCCACCCATACCTGCTGGCTGTCAAATTAAGGTAATGAACAATTCCATCTTTACGTGCCATGCGTATCACATTTTAATCTAATAAAGCCACTTCAATGTGACTTGTACTGCATTACCTCTTGCCATCACGTGCACTGTTAATTGAGGAAGAAATCCACAGTCAATAAACTGATTTCAATATCGAGCAGGTTTAAACAAACCCTGCCTAGTGGCTTTTGTGATCAGGTTTTGCCACTCTGCTTCCCTTTAGAATTAACAGAAAAAGATCACTGCTGAGGCCCTTCAAAAGCAAGATCTATGTGGATTTGCTTTATAAAGATAAGGGCAGTACCATAAAGATATGAGAACTTTATTTCCCTTCTCAGAACTTCAGTGATACTGTGGCAAACACATTGTTCTTGCCTCTATCCGACAAATTGTTTCAAAGTACTATGTGCACAAGTTTGAGCAATTCCCAGCTTATGTTCCCCTTAGAGTTCCAAATGCTAGCCTCTTCAGAAGTGCCTTAAGAGGGAAAAAGATGACTGGACACTTCAGTTCTATTATGCAATTCACTGTTTGAACCTAACCCAAGCCATCTATTTTCTCAAGCACATAAAAATGGTTTCCACAAGAGGTAAAACTTAATTTATTTGGTAGGTGTCTTTATCATCTGCTCAGTACAGCTGGTGATGGTTAGCATTTGTAAGAGCTATTTTTATACCACCATGTAATAGAAATCAATACAGATGCAATTTTAACCAAATGTTAGAGAAACCAAAAATAAGAAAGCAACTCCTTCTATTCTGAGCCAGCCTCCTACTGAAAGTTTGCTGAACTGCATGAACCCCAGCATTGCATACTTAGAGAACCTTATTAACTAACACATTCAGAAGCACTTTTCTTTTGAATTAAATACTTTTCTCTTTTTGAAAGACTTTGTGTAGCTGGAAGAATCTGGAAAACCAAAATAACTGTCACCAACACTGTCAATATCTGTGCCAGGACAGTAACGAGCACAAGTCCTGAACCCAGTGGAATACTTGTATTTAGGTGATTTGCCAAGTAGAGTCCTGAAGCATTTCCCTCCTGTAAAATGCTGCCTGAAATAGGCATGTTTCTTTCCTCTTGAAGTCTAACAAGCTTAATCTATTTTCAATAACATATACTAATAAATTTTAGCAATATGGCTTACCTTGAGATGTCTCCCCAGTACCACTCTGCTTCCTGCAGAGAGAAACTGGAATTGTCTTTCATTCCATTCGTATTGACTGGAGTAATTGGTTTGGGGGGCTTTGGAGGAAGAGCTGAAAATTAAGAACAGATTAAAGAGAGGTAAGCAGGGGAACATGAACCCTAAACTGTTTATGAAATATGACAGAAAAAAAGTGAGAGAAAATGTGCATCTTGAACTTCAATTTCAAGGTCTCTCCAAATATATGGAATTTGTAATTTTTAAAGAATTTCTGAAGTCAGCAGCTGCACCATGATCCTAGATTTCCTAGTACTCAAACCAAAGACGCTTCAGGGAGGGGAAAGGGAAGGAGTAAGAGGAGACATAGAATTTTGTTAAAAGGAACACTGGCTCAGGCAGGACTACAAGGACAATCACTGCCTAAACCTCCAAACAAGTTACAAAGGTGTATTGTGTTTGAAAGCCACAGATCCAAGTTTCATACTAGATTTGTTATTTAAGGCTCCTGTTATGAACAATAGCTATGACTCTGAATACTACAGGACCTGAGGTGATAAAGGAAGGGGAAAGGGGACATTAGGTCATTACTGGAGTGCCTGCTCCACTTTACATAGCTGGAATGTTTACCACAGGAAAGGGGATGCTACAAATCCCCCAAAGACAGGCAGAGCTGCCCATTCAACTACCTATACCTGCTCAGAATTCCCCTATTCTGAATTACAGGCAAACAGACTTTTCCTTCTTTTCTCAAAATTGGCTACACAATGTAAGGACATACAACCCACTCGAGTTCTTTCTGTTTGGTCAGTTTTTGCTCAAACAACTTTATCCTGGTCTTGAACGGAAGCCAAATATCGAGAGTAATTCAGCAGCCACAGGCATGCTCATGTATTGCTGGAGACTTGTCTGTCAGCAGAAATGCACTACCCTTCTTCCTTTGAGAAGGATGTCTTGAGTGCTCTCCCTTGCTTTGCAGAAGTCAGATGCTTCATCACAAATGCTGCCACTGAGCGGGAGCATTTTTCAAGCATTTCATGAGACAGTGTTTTACAGGGACAGGTTACATTTGAATTCAGGTAAGAAAGCAGCTACACACACTGATTTGCTACAAGCACATTTTTAAGTCAGCCCCTGAACATCTGTGCTCCCATCTCTGTGTCCTAGCCATCAGATTACACAAGCACCAGTGAGCAGGCCTGACACGCTGACAGCAGCCATCTTTCACATGCACAGTCCCAGTGTACAAGCAGATTTAAAAAGAAAAAAACCAGGACCCAGGTGCAAGAAGGTTTTAAAAAAAAAAAAAAAAAAAAAAAAAAAAAAAAAAAGAAAAAGAGCAGAAAGAAGATTTTGATCTCTAGCTCCAGTGCAGAATGGCTTAACGCTGAGAGGTGTGCTGCTTGGCACCCTCCCTCTGCTCACCTCCGAGCCACACCTCCCACATTAAAGAAGAGAAAACAGTGTTCCAACTGCAGTTCCAAATACCATTTCATGTTGAATATCTGACACAGTAACTTCACTGTTCTTAGACAAACCAGTAGATACTTGGATCGAGCCAATCTAAACTAAATCTGAACCTTGACCCAGACGTTTGCACCCTGGGGTTGCTGACCAAACACCTGATTCAGATAGCAGCATTCATTCTGTGGGACTGAGCATTAAACTGTAGTATACAGGTTCTTTTTATGGGCTGAGCTGGAAACTTTCAGGTGTGCACATATCTAGTGAGGCAATAACAGGTCTTGTTATAAAAGGAAGGTGAAAACCTTTGGATTCAGTGAAGCAGCTTCCTGGTTAGGAGGCTTCAGTTACTCCTAGCTCAACTACTACAGTTGTTTGTATAGCACCTAAATATTTGTACAAAGCACCATTGAGAGCAGGACTCAGTTCTAACCCTGCTTTGCTTGAAGCTCCCAGCCCCATCCTACTTTTGCAGGGTCAGAGGAGCATCCATCCAGGATGCAGTGTCAATTACATTTACTGTGCCCAGTGCTGCTCCATCTTCACCATTCAAAGTTTCTAAGGTAGAAAATGTCTTCAGATCCTTCCTCCCCACTTCATATCTGGGCTGTGCTACCCCTGAGTAGCCTAAGCAAGCCACAGGATATGGCAGTAAATCCAAGCTCAGAAAACCTGTAGATGTTCTGATCTACTCCAGAATTTTTTGTAGATTCTGAGTCATCAACAAGCACATGAAGATTCCTGTGAAACACACACATCAGTGTGGAGAATTCTTAGAAAACCATTAACAGCACCAGCAATTATTTCACTGGGCCTTGCAAGCTAAGGCCTGGACACATGAAAAACTGTTTTACACTGTTAATAGGGGCTTTCCAGAAGAGGTTTTCAAGTATTCTCTAGAGTACTTAAGTACTTCTCTAGCCCTTCTTGTAAGATTAAGTCTTGTTTCTTTATATACTGTGGAATTATTTAGCAGCTTTGTTAGGGCTCATTCCAAAGCACTGGGCACTGAAAAGCAAATCAACAAAGAAAGGTAAGGAAGGGGAGTTTGGGATATGGACACAGAGCACTAGACATTACACCAAGTATCCTTACTACAGGTGGGATTTTTCCTTCTTTCCCTTAATGGGTAGGTATCAGTTCTCACTATCAGGGGGTTGTCTGCAGAACTTCATTCTGCATGAGAAAATTGGAAGGAAATTCTTACAGAGAGAAGAATAAGGCTTGGAACAGTTCCTGTAAAACCTGACTCATGGAAGCCAGTCCTTTTCACAATAGGCTTTTGAAAAATGCTTTTTAATAGCTTGCACATTTTAAAAATACAAAAGTATTTGCAAGGGTGGATCCTGTTTCCAGAGAGCTATGGATCTAATTCTTTACTTTCAATTCTTGAGCTCTTTGAGTCATAATAGATTTTCCCCTGTACTGGATACACAACCAGCCCCTTGCTATTGCTTTGCCTGCAGACTAACATGCCCATCCACGTCAATGTTTCACGGCTATCCTCTCAGCCTGATCTGACTGTAGTTTAAACCAAACAGCCCAGAACCTGTGATGACACAAGGGGAGCATTTTGTAATAGCATGGAAAGTCTGCTGTTACAGAGCAGTATCCACCCTACTGCTGCTGCTCTTGTAACACTGGGACATTGGTTTGCTAGAAGAGACATCTTAAAATAGTTTTCATTAGTACCTAGATAGTACTAACCAACTTGCTAAGATATATAGAAAGACAACCTTAAAGAGTGTACAGATTTATATTTATTATTTTTTTTAATCCAGTTTTACATACCTTACCTGATGAACATCAGAGAGCTAAAATCCTACAGTTAAGTAAAATAAGGCTGGCTTGAAGTCAACAGAAATGCTTTCAAGAGCAGCCGTGTTTCTTTCCATGTCACTAGGTCCAATTCTGATCTAGCCACAGGCACAATCTTACTTTATCTCAAAACAAACTCTGATTAAAGTGAACCATCCTGATGGTTTCTTGCCTCCTTTTTCCTGGGAGAGAGAGAACATTGATCACAAGTGATTAACAACACAATGCATCTATCTGTTCTAATAAAGAACTTGTTGTTAGCACCAGACGTGCAGCCAACCTTCCCCTACCATGTCTGTAGGACAGCTTTATGGCATGTATCTTTCCAAAGGGAACAGCTCAGCTGGACCCTTCCACTCTTGCATGAGAGAGATCGGGTTCAGCCCTGAGTGACGCCCGGCAGGCAGCAACGCGGGCAGGCTGGCTCTCTCTCACGCAACTAGCGGACATCTCCAGTTTTCTTTGCTCTAGCAACTCCAGTCCCCTTTTTTCCATCTCCCCTAGGCAGCCTAGCTTGAGCTAAATCCCAATCCCAGATCCGTGTCACTTAGCAGGCAGGAAATGAAAACGAACTGGCGATGGCTGCCACCGCCTACACGCCAATGTGCCAGGCCCGCCATCGGATGCTCCTGCCAGCAGGGCTGAGGCTGCTGGGGCGGGTCCCACCAGGGCCCCCCACCCCACATCTCCAGTTTTCTTTGCTCTAGCAACTCCAGTCCCCTTTTTTCCATCTCCCCTAGGCAGCCTAGCTTGAGCTAAATCCCAATCCCAGATCCGTGTCACTTAGCAGGCAGGAAATGAAAACGAACTGGCGATGGCTGCCACCGCCTACACGCCAATGTGCCAGGCCCGCCATCGGATGCTCCTGCCAGCAGGGCTGAGGCTGCTGTGCTGGCTCCAGCAGGTACCTCCAGCCCAGCTGCTCTGCAGGTACTTGCAGAGAAAAGCCCATTGATTAGGTTTTGCCAAGGTAATTTTTCTGATGCTTTCTTGACTGCATAGAATTGCTTTTTAAAAAGGCTACTCAAGGTTTAACTGACATGATTGCCTGTAAGTCAAACCACATCCAACACCAAGACAACCGAGAAAGCTGGCAAGTGACTCAAGTTCAGTACTGCTGCTTTTTACAAAAAAAAAATAAAGCTTCTTATAGAACATAGTAGGCTATATTAATCCCAAATCTAACTTTAGCAAAATACCCTGTGACTTCTATGAGACATATGCTTCTCCCAGTTAGGTTCTGAATCACAAACTTCTAAAGTTTACATGATCAAAGAGCCACCAGGCCCTGTGTCTCAGGGTTTTCAACGGCCTTAATTCAGGAGGAGTGAAAAAAGAAGAATGCCTTGGGTTCTCCAAGTGCTACATCCTACATGGCACCCAGTCAAACAGCCCTTTTCTCCCTTGGTTGCAGAATTTATGTACAAGATAAACCTGCCAGTTAATTAAACTCTAATTTTCAGTTTTAAGGCAGATGCCACTTAGTCTAAGAACGGCTCCATAACATATTTCTTCTAGTATTTTCCAAGAGCTGCAGGCCAGATGCAAAAAAGCATAGCAGGTTTAAATGCTGAGTGAACACTCTCTTAACTGTTAAAATCATAACTACAAAATACTCTGATAAAGTCAATTTTAATTCAGTTGGCACTTTCATGAGCTTGTTTACTAGATTTCTGATGCTCTCAGTCTAGTCTCCCTACACATTGTGACAAGCAGAAACCAAATCAGAGGATTTCTGAGATAGTTACCCAGCTTTATAAAGGTTTATATACAGTAGATACCCTAAAAAACGTAGTTTAAAGCTTTAAAAAGTATTAATACTATGGAAAC